CCGTGCTTGTACTCCGAGATGACCTGCAAAGCCCCGAGGTGGAACTCGGGGTAAACACTCCGATACTTAAGTCAGCAATAATCGGGGCTATCTTTAGGGCGGAGATAAAAAGAGCTTAGGGTTGGTTTCAATTACCTTTCTGAGGTGGCCTCTGGGGGTATTTATAGGATCCAATGAGGAACCCACGTGGCATGCCAAGCAAGATAATCGGAGCTTGACGTGTCCCTCCAAATGGTTATTCCGGGACCGGGAATTTGAGGGGTATCCAGATGCACGAGCGTCCACCATACTTGCTGTGCCACTCATCGTAAGGGATCAGGTGCGGGCATGCTTATTGTCCTTGTCATGCAGCCATTTAAGCGGGAAGCTTTGGATTTATTCCTCACTTCGATCATAAGGGAATTACTGTAATAGTCCGAGGCTTAGCACCTCGGACCTATCCTTACAACTCTCGATAAATTCGTCTAGAGAAAGTAACAAGGGAAATCCAGTAGAAAATGAAGAAAGATCTCCAAAATATTTTTCAAATAGTTGTCTAAAAATCCAACAATTACAGAATAATTCCAGAGAAAATAACAAGAGGAGAAAGCTAGAGGTTGAAGAAAATAATTGTGGACTCCTCAAAAAATGAAACACAAAGCTCCTAAATAACCTAACCCTATTAGAAACGACCTCTGACATAACGTAAAACGACAACACATAATTAATCCTACTTGGCAGCCATATCGTCATCTAGGTCCCACATGCCTTATTCACCGCATATCATCCTTCCGAATTTATCCAAGCATATATAAACAGAAAATAGAAAAACAGAGAATTAACATTCACTGGTTTTGATAAGCAGTAAAATCAGGCTCCGCCGGCTTCTGAGACAGCATTCTGGGGGTGGGAGTCTCATGCTGTCGCAAGTTTCGCAACAGGTTGGCTGCAAATCTCGATGCGTAAATCGTGGCGCCGGGGGTCGGCGATAAACCGGAGTCATTAGCTTCCTCTTCCCGTAACGATTTAAGAAGCTTCCTTTTGCAGTACCGCCGCCAGGTTGCCTGTATGAAGCTGACCGCCCATATCTTCCAATGCACGGAGTAGAATCTGAAAGTGTGCTGAAGCTGTTTCCTATGGAGAGGCCCGAACTGGGAGACAACGAACTTGAGGTCGTCAGCTAACAGAGCAAAGGCTTCGACTTCGGACAAAGCCTCTACGGTTCTGGGGGAGATGGGTAGATGAGAGGAGGACTGATGATTCAAGGCCCAACCAATAAGTGGTTCTCCACAAAAGTCACCGGCTTTGAGATAACCAACTTTGAAGAAGCCAGTTATTCCACGATTGGTGGAATGACTGACCAAATTTCCTCGTATTATAAACAGCATCTCCTCGATCGGATCCCCCTCCCTTTCAATGAAGCTTTTTTCAGTGTAAAATACCGGTTTGAGACGATCACACATTGCATCAAACAGCTGCTCATCCATTTTCTCAAACATGGGTACCTGAAGAAAGAATATTAGTGTTGATCTTATGCTGGGTATGAACTTACAGAAATGTGATGCTTTTAGGAAAATTCTTACTCTCATGAGCAAATCCAAGCAAAGATGACGCTTTATGTCTAGTCTGAGAACTCTTGGAAGGCAACTAATTAG